CAATTTCTGAACATGTTTTTATTAGTTTGTTTTGGTAAGGAAAGAAAATCACAAAATAGATTACAGACCAGCAGAAGAAAGTAAAAACTGGTACTTTCACTTTAATTTTTGGTGAGATTTTAAATCTATCTAAACAGTAAGCAATGTTGCTTTGAATATAAACCATTATACTAGCCAACATTAAAAATTATGGGGCTTTCAGACAGAACTTTCTCAATAAAAAGTGAATACAATCAGAYWTAACCTAAATGCAATCTTCAGATTATTTGAGCTTACTATTCATATTATACATCTTCAATGACTTCACAGAAACTGAACAAAAATTTCATTCTCATTCTATTTATATAGGCTTACACATTAAATAATAGGAAGGCAAAAACATGTATTAACATAAGCTATGTAGATCATAAAAATCTGAGCTATTGTTTTTCTTATTTGAGGTACAATTCAGATTTTTTAAAAAAAAGCAATTAGTACACTCCCAGCATTCTATGCTAAAATCCAAAAAGGACTGTACTATAAAGGAGCCACCTTTTAATTTCAAGTGTCCCATTTACTTTCCACAACCAAATGTTTTGTTCCAGTTTTCATAAAGCTCTAAATCTTTTGGAGACACACTAGGTCGCACAGTTCTAAAAGCATTTTCAAAATCAATATAAGCTATGGGTCGAACTTGATCTGGTGTTATGGTAGCAATGTCAGCAGTTTGTAAACTGCGAATAGGGCCAAGAGAAGCCTCTCTACAAAGCTGTGTCATGTCTGCTCCAGAGAATCCATCAGACTGCTGGACAACCCATTCAATTTCTTCTTCACTGAGGTGACACTGCTCCTTGGACATTAGATTAATTACTATCTGCTTCCTGCCTGAAGCTTCTGGGAGAGGAATATAAAGCCTTTTCACCAATCTTCTCCGGGCAGCCTCATCAATCTCTTGTGGCCGATTTGTTGCTCCCACCACTAGAATGCGGTCTTCAGAAGATGTCGTTGCTCCATCTAACTGAACTAAAAACTCAGTTTTTATTCTTCTAGAAGATTCATGTTCACCATCTCCTCGTTGAGATAACAGGGAATCAATTTCATCAATAAATATCACAGCTGGTTGCTGACACCTTGCAACAGCAAACAAAGCCCGTACCATTTTCTCCCCCTCACCTACCCATTTAGAAGTCAAGGATGAAGCAGAAATGCTAAAGAATGTTGCCCCAGACTGACTAGCAATGCACTTTCCAATTAGAGTTTTACCAGTCCCAGGAGGACCAAAGAGCAGAATTCCTTTCGGAGGTCCCCKTAACCCAGTGAAGATGTCTGGCCTCATCATGGGCCACACAACTATTTCCTTTATTGTGGCTTTTGCAAATTCCACTCCTGCAATATCTTCCCAATGTACTGGAGGCCCATGATCCATGATCTCATTCATAATAAGTTCAATCATCTTTGGCTCTAAGTTCTTCAGACGCTCATCAACAGGATGTGCTGGTTCTGCAGTTCCTGCCCCATAAGGCTTATACTGCATTCCTCCATTATGTTCTCCCCCATCTTGCTTAGGTATAGGAGGAACAAATTTTCCAAATATCCCTCGAGATCTACCAGCTCCCAGAGACTTTTTAACACTACCATAGGAAGACCCTGATGCACGCTGGAGTTGATGGCCCTTTTTTTGTTGATCTACCCATAATTGTTCTTTTGCAGTTTTAAAGGTGGGCAGATTGCTATCCTCCCTTTGGCCATTATCTTCCATTTTACTAAAACCCTTATTCAGTACTGGATTGGAAAGGGTATCAATGATGCCAGAATCATAAAAACCCTTCCTTTCCCGTGGATTTTCAGAGCCAGAAGGAAAACAAGACTGATTAGATGAGAACATATTTAGTCCTAYGTTGGCTTTGGGAAAGCTGTGCTTTTCCTTTTTGACATTTCCAAATAATGGTGCAGCATGTACTTTTGCAGTGGATGACTCACCTAAAGGCACTGAAGACATGCAACAAGTCTTAGTGGTGGTGTTAGYCACTACAGGTGGCTGGACAACCTGAGGGCACCTCAAAGGGTTGTTTCCTGGGTTGTCTTGGGCCCTATCTGTGTCATGAATTAAGTTAGGTAATAGGTCACCCTCTCCAGGAGCTCCACRAACATTAAATTTAGGAWGATCAAAGGCAGCAACCTCCTTGTGGATTATTACTGATGCATCACCAGGTTCCAAAATAGAATCTTTAAATTTTTTGCCAGCTTGCATCATCTTCTGTACATTATCCATTTTGAAAACATTATTTATTGACAACCCAGACTGCCACTTTTCACTGTTAGTTTGAGATCTTGCCAAAGCTAAAATGTTTTCTGCATAGTTATTCAAGCCAGTTTCAACATTGTCAGAATCAACAATTGCAGAATATTTCTCTGCGTATCTTTTGAACAATTTGGTAGCACAGACCTGGGAGATCTCAGAGTTTGCCCATGCATACTGAATGCGTAATATCTGTGCACGATACGCATCAGCCCTCTGTCCTGATGTACATATGTCAGATGTAATTGCAAAGTAATTCTTCTGCCATTCACTCAGATGTATAGACCTAGAGCTGGAGGTCTGCATGTTCAAGTTTCTATAACAAATGGCAAAAATGAAAACAAGTCAGTAGCAAGAAGAAAACAAACACAATGCTTTGAATGTAGCTTTAAAAAATCTCTGGTAAGAAAGGCACACTGGATATATATATATATATATATATATATATATATATATATGAATAAATTTTAATATAAAGATATATTAATATAATCTCAAAATCAAAAACTTTATAGTGATTTTTATGAGTAAAACTATTTTAATTATATAACAATTGCCCCGCAAAACAGAGAAAAGCATTTGTAAGGTTTAAATGGAAAAGATTTAAAACTAATCACCAAAAGAAAGGCAATATGAAAAAACAAAGGAATGGCAGATACACACAACAAACCAGAGTTTACATGTAACCTCTTTAAAAATAAATAAATAAATAAATAAGAGATAGGCTGAGCAAGGCTTTTACTATCTCTGGGTTTCCTTATCTGTCAAGTGAAAGGAACCATTTTGACAACTAAGTCAGTAATAAATATGAAAATAGTCTGAAAACTACTAATGCTATTTCTATTGTAAAAATGTAGAAACTGAAGCTAAGAGAGTTAAGAAACTTACTGGAAATCACAGAGAYAGTTATGAATCAAGCCACAATCAAATATACAGTTTCATTCTGGGTGCTTGTGCACTTTCCCACGTACTTAGTGTTCCTTGATGCTTCCAAATGTCACAGATTGAGCTGCACAGATCATAAATATGGAATGATTAATGTTTTAATGACTTATTCATAAATAAATCACATAAAAAAGTTGCAGAATCAYAATTTCCCAATATCACATAAAGTATTAACAATTGAAAGTGTTATGACACATGAATTATGAGAACAAGCCAAATCACCTACTACTAAAATGCTTTTACTTTAGATTTTTTCTCAGGTTATTTTCATAAACCTCTTCACATTTATACCTGAACAGAATCATAGATGAAAGTATCATGTTGTTGGACCTWAGAATTTACCTACAAAAACAAATTATGAGAAATCTTTTCAGTTTCCTAAGAGTACTTCAATAAATTAAAAATTAAGAATTTAAGTATTTTAAATTTCCCTCCTAAATTACCTGGAGGTATAGCTTAATTATCAATAAATTCTTTTTGTGCAAGAGCCATGTTCAATACAATTTTGCACATCCAACAATGCCTTGCAAACCATTTGTCACATTATAGATARGTGTTCATAAATCTTTGTTTAAAAAAAAAAGAGGAAACTTAACATCCATTGAGACTAATCTATTTAAAGCTTTAAAGCTTAATAAATTAGAATCAACACTATGCAAGCATTCCTCCTGAAAAGCAGGTCACCCTGCTTTCACCATACTATTTTGCTYATATTTTAATCTCCTTTATACAATACTGGAATCAAGAAATTGAGAGAAATAATTTGGAAAATATYTATCACAATTACTATAATAAATATTTCCACAACTTTTATAATAATCCTCTTCCTCTGCATGACTTCATTCCAGTTTATCATGTGCAATCCYGGAATAATTCCAACCTCTCAGAGTTCTAGTCACTATTCTCAGGAAACTCTCCTTTCTCCTTTCCATTATCAACTTTTCTTCAATATTCATCTCCCAAGTCTTACTTCTTCCTTTTAATTCAATTATCTATCCAACAATTATAAAGACACTTAACCCAAAACTGGCCATCACTACTAAATGGCAGTTTTATMCTATTTACCATTTCTAAGTCAATTTAACTTTTATGGCCTTTCCTAGACTTAAAAATTATGGTTAATTAGCATTGACATAAGAACTGTTTCAAAATTCCTTTTATTTATAATTTTCTAATTATCTATTGAATATATTTGTCTTCCAAACTGGATAGTTAGCTTCTGCTAATAGGAACTAATTTTCTATCACATTTACATTCTCTCAAAACCTAGACTATCTGGTATCCACTAAAATAATAGCAATAGAGTACAGGTACAGCTCCTACCATATGGCAGACACTGTACAGGTCTTTTATAGAACTATTTCCCAAAGGCAAAAATAGCACAGGAAATAAGAGCACAGGATCTGAMTACTGGCTGACTATGTTCAGATACTGGCTCCATTATCATCCAGCACTGACCTTGGGTAGGTCTCTTAATGTGTGTCTGTTTTCACATATTAAAAAAAAAAAAAATGCAACTAACTAGCTGACACGGTCTTTTAGTTCTGCAAAACACTTCTCAGCAATAGATAAAATATGTCTTSTTATTCTTCACAATGAGATATTAGCATTTCTTTCTCACCACAGAAGTTAACAGACTGCCTCAATCTACAGGAAATACATATGGTCAGGGACCAGCAGAAAGCAGCTCTGATTTACTGCAGGTTGCACATCCCTTATCAAAAATGCTTAAGACCAGCCAGAAGTGTTTATGATATCTAAAAAAAAAAAAAAATTCGTGGCGTGGGTGCATATATATATGAATACTGGGTGTATATACACACATGTGCATATATAWAAATACACGTGTATATATGAGATGAACTATCTTAGGGACTGAGACCTACATATGTACCTTATAAGCACAGCCTGAAGGTTAATTTTATACAATATTAACAATTTTGTTAAGGAAAGTTTCATGGTGCAACGTTTTCCACGKGCAATGTCGTGTAAGGCTCAAAATGTTTCAGACTCGGCAGCAATACGGGTTTTCTGATGAAGGATGTTCTACCTGTACTATTGTATTGCCGATAATGGTAGAAGATACTGAGACTCAGTACATTTACACAGTAATCACTCCAGCCCTCCCGGTCTTTGCTGAAGTTAGCGGTGGCAGACACAGCCCCAAACCGGTCCTCAACCGCACCCAACCGCTCTCAGCCCGCCGCCAAGCCCACTCCGGTTTACCAATCGTCACCTCATCCTAACTTCCCAAGACCACCGTCCTGTACGACAAACGTGAAAGAATGGGGCACGAAAGATACAGCCCCAAAAGAAAATCCGCAGCCACCTGCTGGACTCTGACCTGTCACTGACCTCCCACAGAGCMCCTGCTCGCGCCCCACAGGCCCACAGAGATTTTCTGCAGACTACCTGCCAGGMGCCCGAGTCTCCAACCCCGCGGGACTCACCACAGCCTACATGCAGCTGGCCGAGTTGCTCTCAGCCTCCGAAAAGCGCGGGGTCCGACGTGCGCCTGCGTAGCGTGACGTGCTCGTGCCCGCGCCGTGCGTGCATGCGTGCGAGCGGGGGCGCGTGCGCGGCGGAGGCGGGGGCGCGCGCCAGGTCGCGGCTCTATGGGGGGCCGCGAGCGGGTTTTTTTTTTCTTTTCCTTTTCATTCATTCATTCATTCATGCATTCTTTCTTTCACTTTCTTTTTCTTGTCTTTTTGTTTATTTATTTATTTTTTGCGGTGCTGGATGGTGACATTCTGATAAAGGAGACTTGTTGCAGATATTCTGCGAACGGAGACTTGCGATCTGTCCAGCTGGGGAAGATTTATCTTAAGTGTCTTCGTTTCAATGAGTTTAAGCATAAATTTTTAAAGTGCTCCAAAATAAAGAGAAGTAGTGATGAGAGCTGAATGAAATTTCGAAGGATTCCGATAGATASAGATTTCCAGGACTCACCTGGGTGAGCAAACCGCCCGCCTTCTGCGCTGGAGCAAAGAGGGGTGGGGGTGGGGGGGAGGAGTGGCTGCGTTCAAGTTAGGAATGATTCAAGACGTCCTTAGGCTGAGTCCTGGGGCCTGCCAGCCCCTCGCCTTCACTGTAGCCTGGGGATCTCGCTCCTTGCGGACCATTAGCAGGTTCCCTATCTCCTCCTCTTTCAGACAGAAATAATCTGTGACTCAGAATGCCATTGTAAAGTCCACAATCCATTGGAGATATCAAAGCAGTAACTGGCCTGTGGCAGATATTTAACAGAAGATGTGATATCTTTTTTTTTTTCTTTAATTTTTATTGTTACTAAAAATGCCATTACTGAGATTCAAAACCTTATGCTATACAAGACTTTTCCATCTTTTTGAAACCTGACATGTTGTAATAGCATCCTAATAATTTAACATAATATGAAAGCACTAGCTTGAGCTATATAAATATTAGTCTTTCCTTCCAAGAACACAGTGTAATAGACTCTTTTTTTTTTTTTTCTCCTGGTTAGTAGTTAACCTTCAGGGAAGACGTTTCCACCTACTGCAGACAGAGTGCCAGTCCTTTGGTGTGAGGGATTCTGGGAATGCTGTAACATGGTCTCAGCATTCATGAATGCTGTAAACATGGTCTCTGGATAATGCCAGTGTTTGTGCAGTGAGCTCATTTGATTTTGAACAGAGGGATAGTATGGCCCCAAATAATGTGCATCCTTTTCTGCCAGGAGATTTACTTTGTAAAAGTTTAGTGAGATGTGTTTGTAGGTGGGTTTGGGAGACCAATGCCTCCAGGAGATAGGAAAGCAGATAAGATAAACAAATTTAAATCTAGTTCCTTTTCTGTGGGATTCCCTGAATGTAGCTAGATTCATGATGATAACCCAAACCTTTCAGCTTCCTAATTCTGTGGTGAGGAAGAAGGCAGAATGARGATTAAGAGACAGTATTTAGCCCTTCATTAAAGAAGACATGCTGCCCTGGAGTAGAGGAAATGCACAATTCTAGTGAGAGATTTTCATCAGCAGCACAGAAAATCATAAAGGGATATGAAGAAGSTCTACCTGGCATCACCATCTTAAACAGAACCCATGAGTTGGGAGGTGGTACCTTTCCCTATGTCAGAAGACAGAATGTCCACAAATTTAACGGAAGTTCTAACTAGCTTTTATTTGCAGTTCATKAATTAGAGGCACGTTGAGTCTGAAAAATAGAATGAGTGCTTCCATTGGGCAAAAGCAGAAGGGTGGATTTTGTAAGGTCAGAATAGGGAAGCAGGACGATAGAAAAAGAACTGATGGGTTAACATCAGGTTATGTCAAGTTACACTTTTCAAGTAAGGGTTATAGTAGAGGGACTTGCTTATTCTGCTGACTCAGGTAAACTGAGTTCTCTCCAATTAGTTTCGGTAAATACCCTGTTTCCAGGAAGAACTGGTCTGTTTGGGGATCCTCTACTTCTTTAAAGTTTCAGTTTGATTACAGGGCACTTGTCATGAGTGACTCCATTTTGGTTAGGTCTGGTCTGTTGGGGCTTAGTGAAGGAGCTCAGCCCAAAATAATGGTCTCCCATAATTTTTACTTAACACCTGTTATGGGGCAGGGCAGAGTGGGAAGGAACAATCTGCTTTGGTTATTTTCCTCCAGAACCATGCTACCAACCTGAGTCTGTCCTCTTAGGTGCTTCTAGTTTGATATGTTATGGGTTGAATTGTGTCCCTCCCCACAGTTATGTTGAAATCTTAACCCCTAATATCTGTATAGCTGACCTTATTTGCAAATAGTGTCTTTAAAGAGTCTTAATCAAGTTAAAATGAGGTCATACTGGATTAGGGAAGGCAGTCATCCAATTGGTGTTCTTATAAACACAAGGAAGAGATACACAGAGGGAAGATGGCAGGCACAAGCAGATTGGAGTGATTCCTCAGAAGCCAGTGAATGTCTGGGGTTTACCAGAGTTGGACCTGGAAGTGACATGGCCTGGTGACAACTTGATTTGGGGCTTCTAGTCTCCAGAACTGTAAGARAATAATTTTTTCTTGTTTAAAGACTCCAAGATTGTGATACTTTGTTATTAGCTCCAGGAAACTAATATCTCTTCTTATAGCACCAGAGGAGTTGTAAAGGGACAGGATCATAGGGCCTGTGGGGTTGATTTTCCAGGGTTCAAGTGCCTACTCTGCAGCTCACCAGTCACTACCAAGTGCTGTTGGGAATAAACATAGTCAGTGCCTAAACAGCAGTTAGACCATTGCCTGGGCCCCAGTTAGCACTGCCTATGTGTTGGGGTTGTTATTATGTYGAAGCCATCCCTTTGTAACATGGAGGTTGCCCTGATTAGAGGTTGGTACTGAAAACTAACCCATCTTGTTGTGGTTTTTCCACATTTTAAGCTCCTTAATCTTGCTATTTAATAATGTAGCCAAATTCTCTTTTATTTTCACAGAATATCAGAATCTCAGGCATAAGTGAGGGCTTACATAGAAGATTGCCTACTTTCTAGTCCAACTTYTGTCTCATGCAAGAATATTCTTTACCACTTCCCAAACCTTGATTTTCCCCATCTCAACTTGAGTCTCCACAATGGTGGAGAATTCTCTCCCCTATAAAAAAACATATTCCATTTGCTGATGGGTTGACTTTTAAGTTTTTCTTCATGTTTAATAGACCTGACTTTTTATCAGTCACTCTTTGGAGCTACAGAGAAGCTATTGAAGACAGCTAATCTCCTGCCTTCCATCTGTGCAATATCTCTAGTGCTACTTCTGCCTAGGCCCCTGTCTTGAATTTAGGTCTCAGCCATCTTCCCAAAGTACATTTATGATCCAGGCTGGATGCAGATGCTGCAAAAATCTGAAGGCTAATAACGGTGACTAGTGGCTCATCTTGGAGTCTTATAGCCTTACCTCTGAGCCATGTTCCCAGCCCTTTTTATTTTTTATTTTGAGACAGGATCTTGCTAATATGTTTAGAGCCTTGCTAAATTGCTGGGACTGGTCTTGAACTTGTGATTCTCCTGCCTCAGCCTCCAGMGCCACTGGAATTATAGGTGTGTATCACTGTGCCAGGCTACAGCAATCTTGCCAGGCTACAATAATCTTAACACAAGGGCACACTCGGGTGCAAAAACATCTCATTGTAAAATTTAGGTGCTCCAGCCTCAACTCAATGATCTGAGGTCTCCACACCCACTGGTCCTACCACATATAACCCCAGTGGAGCCTAATGGACCATCCCATGTCCCCACCCCATGACAGAACTCAGATCTGGTTCACTGATGAACAAATATCCGCCCCAAATCAGATGGAGAACTACATAGCATCTGGTGAATTTCCAGATTTAGGAATAACAGATCATATCATTCAATTACATTTACATAGTTRTCAGTTATTATCTAGAGGATAATAACTAACCTTAGAATAACAGCACATGTTTCTAAAAGAAAAATGGTTCTAAATAAAGATAGGAACTTATTTCAATAAATACCACATCCTTATTAGAATTTATGTTTCTATGGGTGCTCTTCCATTGCTTATTAGTCATGATACAATATAGCAGATGGATTCATCAGACAAGAAAGCCATGGCCCAGAAAGTCATATAACTCTTGAGCTCATTGTTTGAATCCAGGTTGTCTAGTGTTCTGAATTTATTTCCCTAGAAGATGAAGTCATCTCCAAGTAAGATGTGCATTTGAATGCATCTAGAATAGTTTTTTTTAAATGCATACAAGGCTCTCAATAACATATGTTTGAAAAAATGAATGAATTTGATAATATTCAAGAATGCTGTTTGGGGCTAGTTGAAAGAATAAGTTTATATCAAAAGATTCCATTGATATAATGTAGAATAAGATGATTATCCACCACAATTAGCATTTTACATCAACTGTTTATTAAGCATTTAGTCACATGATAGGATAATTTAGGAGCACAGGTATAATCTCTAGTTATGATCATAGACTGCCCTGGAAAATATTTCAATAAGCCTCTTTTGCCACACTGATTGATTCAAAAGCATGAAAACTTATGATTTTTAATCACRAAAAATCATAGTTAAAAAAGAAATGAAAACTGTAGTCACTGAGATAAACTTTCCATATAGTAAATATTTCTTCACTGATGAGACGCTATGACAGGTCTGATTAACTTTGATTAATGTTAAAAGACATAATGACAGGTGTCTGGTTAACTTTGGAGCAGACATGGGAGGTCACATACAGACTCAGTTCCACAGAATCAGGATGATATTTATTTTCTTCTTATTTCAGTTTTCAGATATATGTCCTTTCAACTTTTCATCTCTATAGAAAAAAAATACAATGAGCATATGGCTAAATTAAGAAAATAAAGAATAAAAATTTGCATACTATTTCTCCAGTGAAGAAGGTCAATTGTAAATGTAAAATAGTTTGAATTGAAAGAAAGGAACTTTTATTAACAAACTGACAAATTTTATCAACATCAAATAGACTCTCTAATTTCCCACCYTCTGTAAAATAGAAACAGCTCCTACTTTCTCTTAGAACTGTGATTACCTAAAAATGATATGACAACATCAAGTAGTTACAAGTAAATAAACCCAATGTGTTAAGATTTTCATTATTCCAATTAATCTGGYCAAAACAATATACATGCATTATAATTTACTATGGTATCCTCTATATATTGGTTAGAAAATTGAAGCTTATTTTTACCTTTTGAATCTGCAGCAAATAATAACACCACAGGAATTATGATTTCTATTGAAAATATGCCTGTGAGCTACAGTCTCCCCACATGTTATTTTCCAGAGCTATAGTCTCTCTGTGTATCATTTTGAGCATATGGGAATAAGATTCTGACATAATAGATACTTGTTAGATATCTGCAAATATAGGTTTGCAGAAAGGATAATCAGTAGTACTTGCTTGTAGGGTTGCTTGTTTTGTGTATACTAACATATGCTTAGAGCAATGRAATACTATCAAAGTATGAGCTTCTCCCTGATACCTTCCAGAGATATTGGATATATGATCCAGTTGTTCTGGGGAGGGAGGTCTCTTAATTTAGGTGTGGAGGAAGGCCCTTACCACACCAGGAAAAGGGCCTTGTATTACTGGGCATATTTCCACTGAGAAGGTGGTTTCTTTGGCCTTGCCTTACTGAAATCGACCATCCATAGGCTATTCACTCATGTAATAAAATACAATTTTAAACTATTGGATTTTTTAAGCACTATATTTCATGAATTCTCAATTAAAATTAGGAGCAAAGAAGATAAAGTTGCATGCAACTGGTCAAATAAATTACACTATACCCCTATGTTCTGCATCTCTGATGGGTTATGAATGAGGTYAATGGAGAAATGAAGAGGAGAGAGACAAAGACAAGCAGAGGTTAGGGGGGTCTACTACCCTTCCCCCAAATGGGGCAAAAAGAAAGAAATGACAGACACAGAAAAGAGTAGAAAATTCCAATTGAATGACATTCTTGGTGGGGAGGGCTGCTGTTGGGTGTGTTCTTGTTTTTTAAATTGGTGCATTAAAATCATATATAATAGTGGAGTTCATTATGCCATATTTGTACATGCACATAACATAATTTGGTCGATTTCATTCTCCAGTACCTTCCCTTTCTGAATGATATTCTTAAAATAATCTAATGAAGTCGTTTAAGATTGTTTTAACTCCCACACATATAATTTTAAATAGTCTTCCTGTTGCCAGTGCCGCGTTTGCTTAAAACATTGTCCTTATGAGTTACCTGTGTGCTCTCTGCAGGGCTTAATTGATGTAGTTAAAACCCCTCATTATTACCAAGAAGCCCAGTCGTCTAAATAGGCTCTTTCTCTAAACCATCAAGACCTGGGTCCTTCCTGACAGTAAATTATCACTCACATGAAATTCCTGTTTTATTGTTTTCATTTATCTAAAGCTTGCCAGTTTGATATATAAGCTCATTATGATAGCAAGTTAGCTTAATAAACTGGGGAAATCTGAAGGGAAAGAATGATAGAAAACGATGTTCTCATTTAAAATAAATAACCAAAAATCTGTAGAGAATCATTACAGATAGCACTCTTTCCACTCCTCTGGACCAAGCATGATAGAATTTTCTCTGACTTTACCAAAGAGAAAACTCGGTCCACAGCAGCGCTGAGGGGCAGAGCCAGAACTGAGCCAGTCGGGGATCCCCACTCTGACCCTGACTCCAGGAGGACAGGATGTTCCTGGCACACACAGCTTACCTGCAGCAGGCTCCACTTTCACTCCTTCTCTGCTCTCAGCACCTCTTCCCCCAGCTCTCTGATGTGCTCCCAGGCGAATTGCACGTGGGCAGATTCCACCATGCGAGAGCAGATGGCAAAACGCAGCACGAACTTGTCTCGGAGGTGACACGGAACCAAGTGGATTTTTCTGGCATTGTTTATTCTTTGCAGAAGAGCTTCGTTCAGTTGGTTGGAACCCTGGAGGGAGGGATTCAAAGGGAAAAAAACTACGTTCACTCCTCTGAGGTCCCCAAAATTCAACTCATCTCATCRTTGGGTAACACCAAGTCTGGTAAGACTAGGATGCCCGGTGAAAGAGGACCTTCCCAATCCACCTTTCATTTACAGTGTTTAAAAGTTCCATAAAATAATAGTAAAACACAGGCTAAAAGACCATCTCCTCTCCTCACAAAATCATTCCTCCAAGTTCTAATGTACTGTCTAAAGATGATCCCACCCCACACCGGGCAGGKTGGCACATACCTGTAATCCCTGCGGCTCAGGAGACTGAGGCAGGAAGATAGCAAGTTCAAAGCCAGCCTCAGCAAAAGGGAGGAGCTAAGCAGCTCGGTGAGACCCTATCTCTAAATAATATATATATATATAAAAAAAATAGGGCTGGGGATGTGGTTCAGTGGCCCCTGAGTTAAATCCCCGGTACCTCCCACCCCCCCAAAAAAGATGACCCTCATATGGTCCAAGTTTGTTTAAGAAAAATGAAGAGCCCTAGAGATGTCATCTACAAATGAATGAGTTTTGCTTTTTTAATCTGCRTATATAATATAAAATTTCATTAAAATTAGTAAGCCCTATTCATTTTATAATTATTCTTTTTGACCTATATCTTTATTTTTTTAATTGATTTCAAATKAATGAGTTTAAACAACATGCCTGAGGATTCTGAATAGCACCAGAGTGGGAGTCTAAATTTGTACTGAAACACAGAGAAAATCTCAACAACAGAGAAAATGAAGCACAATAGTCAAGCTATTGTTCAAATCTGGGAAGATGTCCATGAACCACAGGATCCAGGGATCATTGGTGGCCTCTACACAGCCCCTTAGGAAGAGAACAGCCAACCAGCTTGGGGGCCAGGGGCCACGTGCACAGCTCCTGCTGACTAATCAGGGCTGAGAGGTCTGTATCAAACAGTACATGGGAAGTCAGTGCTTCCCCTACTAACCGCTGGTGCACTCAGCCAGCCAGGCTTGCGGCTCTTCTTTGCCCTTTCTAGTTTCTGCCTCTGTCTAGTTTTCACATAGTGCACCCCCCCCCCTTCCTCTAAGTGGAAAATAGAAAGGGCTGGATGTAGAGCATTGCATCCTAGTCATATGACCCTTTTAGACTTGTGCTACTTCTTCTGGCCCTTTCTTCAAAGTCCAGAGAAAGAAGAAGAGGGAGGAGGGAAGTGCCCAGTCTACTTGGCAGTCCACTCTAGCTGAACACCTGCTCAATACTGGAAAATGGCTTTGGCCTTGGACAAATCCACCACAACTCTGGCTATGAGCTAGAATGTGGCTGCCTTCAGTGCCCAAGTGCACAGTGAAGGGGCCACAGACATTAGARAAATTGCTGCCTTGTATGCCAGGTAGACAAATTCAAGGTGGAGAACAAAAAGAAGGAAAGAAGGGAGGGAGGAAGGAAAGAAAAAAATTGGTACCAAGGGAATGGAATTTTATTAAAGAGACTAAGTATGAGTCTGAAATTTATATAGTGCAGAAAATGAAGGCAAATGATTTAGGGGAAAAAATTGCTTGCAATTTCCAAATGAATTGGACTAGATATGTGTATGTAAAGGCAAGAAGGCAAACAGGAAAAATGGTCAGAGGTGAAAGAAAGACAAAAATAGCTGAATGAGACAGAAGAGGAGACTGACCAGGGTAAGGATGGAGGGAAAGAGAATCAGTTACACAATCACAACATCACATGCTTCAGCTTAAATAAAGAGCCACAGTGTATGTTAAGGTAGTAAGTGATGTGGAGGACTTGAAACTCCTACTGRAGAGGAATAGGATGAAGAGAAAATAATGAGAATATAATAGTCACAGTGGCAGAAAAATGAACCATAACGTTTAACTAACGTGCTTCTTCAAGAAGAAACCAGATTCATGGGATGGAAGCAGCTTGTTAACTGAAAACTTCCCTGGGTTTCCTGCATGTAAGAGCCACACACRTTACAGTTCACTTGAGAAGAAAGGACTAAGGCACAGATAGGTTTGGCATAATTAGTAAATTATGCCACTAGAATGAAAGTCTTAACCTTGACAAAATTATGCTAACTGAAAGAAGTCAGTGGCAAAAGCCAACGTATATTTAAAAGTCCATTTATATGAATGTCTGGAATAGGCAAATGTCTAGAGACAGAGATCAGATTAATCAACCTAAGCTGGGGAATGGAGGATGAGYGCTCATGGGTGAGAGTTTTGTTTTTTAGGGTGAAGATGCTCTAAAATTAGWGATGTCTGCACAGCCCTGTGAATACAGTAGAAATCACACAAATGGGCAATTTAAGTGAATTACATCTCAATAAATCATAAAAATTAAAATAAAAAGTTCCTGCAAGAATCCTGGCAATAAAAACAATGCAACCACTTGGAGGCAGACAAGTCTGAGCAAAATGCCAGTCCCCAACTTTGATGGAACTGCCACATCATGTCATCTGCATAACCATGTTCTGGACACCATCACCCAAGGCTTCTCTCTTGTTATAAGGCCCCTCTAGTCCTGCTGCCTCCCGACTTTTCCATACCTGGATCTCATCCTCACTGCAAAGCTCCAAGAATCAGGTGAGGGAAAGGAGACAATACATGGAGGGGCAGTGCCACACTTTGAGTGACAGTACCATGACAATGACACAACCCAGTCTGTTCCTGTTCCTGATTTCGGCCTGTGATTGGAAATAGGAGGCCTTATGGGAAGACCTCAAACTGATTCAGAAACTATAAACCAATAAAACTCGGTAGCATGTACCTCCCAATTACTTAGGAAGATTTCAAATTCCCCACCAGCTGGGAAACACAGCAAGACCCAAAGGGTAAGGGAGCTAGGGGTTTAGCTCAGTAATAGAGCATTTGTCTGTGTTGTGTGTGTGTGTGTGTGTGTGTGTGTGTGTGGCGGGGGGGACCTGGGTTGGATCCCCAGCACTGAAACAGTGACAATAAAATCCTCTCATTGTATTAAAAGCCATCTCTGCAGATGTCTGAGAGTTGGTTGTTAATTCTCATCTGACTTCATTTACACCACAAAGATTAATGGGGTATGCATGCAGTACGCCATAGGTCCTTTTGAGAAATATCATCAAGAATCTCAACAAGATGACTGTCATCTTGACTCCCCAGGGCCAGACTCCTTCACCTAGTGAATGCACATGGAACACACAGCCTGGAATACCTCACCCTCCTGTGTGGGGTCTTGTTGAGATATGGAGTCAGGGTGGYTAGGTTGGGGAGATTTACTTTTCTAACCAGCTCCCAGATGGGGCCCATGCTATAGGTCCCCAGAGAAGCTCAAGTTAGTGAGGCCACGGATGGGCATCCCGTAGAGAATTTCAGTGGTGGGACAGAGACTTGGGGATGGAAAAGATAGGGAGAAATCTAAGACTAAGGAGCAAGAAGTCTACAAGTATGTCTCCAAGAAAGCTGAACATCAATGGTCCATGCAGGACAATCTGGGMAGGGCCTCCCAGGAAGCCAGATTTCCTCAGGGCTATGGGCTAAATACCWTGGTTTTTGTTCAGTGTTCCTGGGACGCTGATGAAGGCATCTGAGTGTGGAGGTCAGAATGGGACTTTCCCCTCTGTCCCATTCAAAGAAAATGATGAGGACGATGATAGACATAAACAAACCTTTAKCCGGAAGCAGACTAGCCCCATAGTGACTTCTGCACAGATCTCAAAGCGGGAATCCTGGAGCACCAAAGACTCAAACATAWGAGCCAGCTGGACGTGCTTGAGAGAGAGAGGGGGAAAGGTGCTTGAGTTTCTCATCATCACTGAATTCAAAACTTAACCATCTAGAAAACCCTATTAAACTGCACATCCATAATTCATTTACGTACTCTCTGCAATTTTCTTCAAGTGTCTGTGCTGTCCCCTCACCAGCTGTTCCCAAAGAAACTCATTCATTACTATGAAGAAAGGCTTCATGTCCTCAGAAAAAAAATAACATCATTTTCTTCTGTTCATGGGGCTATTTCTACACCCTTGCCCCTGAAAAATCTTTTATAATTTTATAACAAAATTGCAAAGAGGTGCTGGAACACTGTAGAAGATATAAAGGCTAACATTCATCTACCACTTCTTCCTCATGACAACTCACAACATAGTGATGGATACTGKTTTATAACCATTTTCCAGTTCAGGAAACAGGGTCAGAGAGTTAACATGCCCAATATCCTATTGCCATGCCTTCTGAGCTAGGATTCGAATGCAGCCAATATGAGCCTTTCAGTTCTGCGGTTGGTGTGGCTCTAGTTCCATGGTGCTTGCCCCTGAGACACAGAAACCACACATACACCATCACATTCAAGAGCTGCCTTCCTGTCACTGAATAAGGTTGATGTCAACCTTACTTAACTCCTAGATGTTAAGAACTCAAAAACCAATTCGAATTATCTGTGATCCATGGAGAAAAACCGCTCGCGGATTACGAGTTCTCCTTCATTCAGAACCTTGAGCATCCAGCGCGCTTCTGGTCACCATCACGTGGTAGATGCACCAGAGGAGCTCTGCGCAAGTTCTGGACCAAAGCTTGTTGGGAAATAAGCAATCCCTCTTATGACCACCAGAGGGCGCCAAAGACTTTGGATTCTGGTATTCCCAAAGCAGGCTCCTGCCTAGGGAGGAGGTTTTGGTCCAGCCCTTTCCCACATTCCTGCTAAGGTAGGACTGGGAATCCTTTCAAAAAGAGGCGTGATGTGTTTATCACATGAGGCAGCATAATCACAGCTCATTGTCCTTGAGCTTATGGATGAAATCATTGTGGACAGATAAGCCACTTATGTTTTAGCCTTCTTTCTCCAAATAATTTGAATTCAATTCTCCTGCTACTTTTCTCAATTAAGAACATAAGATACATTATTTATAAATTCATACACATGTTCCTTTTCTAGTTTTTTTTTTTTTAACCATATAGACTCTCATAGTGCTTGACGCTCCATAAATTTTCTTAGAATGGGCTTGAAGCAGACGGGTACCAGTTTGTGGCTTCAAGCATTTAGCAAATGCTTGAAAATAGATGCATTTCTGCATCTCTGTCACAGGGAGGACCCTAACATATCTGACCCCTGCCCTTAGCTGCACAGTTGGTGATGCAGCAGCACCAGGACTTAAAGTTAAGCATTGTCATATCATTAGGGTTAGAAACTCCAGGCATGCCTTTCCTGTGAAGCCTGGGGACTTTTGACCATCAGGATGAGGCCTTGGCTTAGAAAGGATCAGAAGAAGGAAGGACCCAGCTTGAAGTCAGTATGCCTCCTGTATCTGGCAAACTGGGTGGGCCTTAGGCAAGTCCTGGTTCATATTCAGGCCTCGGATTCCCCAGCTGATGAACAAAAATGGTAGAGTAGTGGGACTTGAAGTAGATCAGTGGTTGTCAAATTTAAGTGCATACTATGTGACTACACTGCTTGTTAAAGCAGGTTGCTGGCACCTGCCGTAGGCCACTGGCACTGTAAGTCAGGAACTGTGTTTGAGAACAATTGGTGTAGATGGTATCTATTCCACACCAACTCTAAAATTCTCCTATTTTGGCAATCTTCTGAAGAAAAACATATTATATTCTCACTTTTGCTTCTTTGCTCACTGAAACTCACTGTGCCAAAAGTACAACCTACATAATGTTTTTACTTTGACCATTGTTATGTTTTGAATGTGAGATGTCCCCCAAAAGCTGATGTGTGAGACACGGCAAGAAGGTTTGGAGGAGAAATGATTGGGTTGTGAGAGCCTTAACCCAATCAGTGAATTAATCACCGGATGGGATTAATTGAGTGGTCACTGAAGGCAGGTAGGGTATGGTTGGAGGAGGTGGGGCAATGGGCGTCACTTTGAGTTCTGAAGGAATAGAGCTGGCTTTCTATGTTCTGAGCCCTCTGAAACCAACCATCAGCTCTCAAATAAACGTTTCCTCCTCTACAATTGTTCTGGTCAAGTCTTTTAGTCACAGCAGTATAAAGGCTAACTAAAACAATCATCATCCTGGAGCTGATAACCTGTAATCCTAATAGAGGTATCCTCAAAGATCCATAATTGTGCATTCGACAACCCAAAGTACAGTTTGCATCCTTTACCATATACAGCCCCAATCTGTGTAGTGACATTTCAGTCAACAATGGACCACATGTGCCATGGTGGTCCCCATGGACTGTATCTTCCAACACGGTCATAGTCATCCTAGTTTGTGCAAGTACCTTTTATGATGTTGGCACAATGACAAAACCACCTAATGATGCATTTCTCACAACCTATCCACGTTGTTAAGTGATACATGCTTGTATTTACTTACTAAGACATCTGAATTCATTTCCAAGTCCCCTAAGCCCTCCATAGTATTACTGAGATAAAGAATGAAGACAGTACCTTKCGGATATGAGCCTGCAGTCCTTTGACTCCAAGCATTCTAAAGACAAACCACAATTTCAAAGAGCGGAATCTTCGACCCAGTGGGATCTGCCAGTGCTGAAATAAAATATAATATGGGGCATCAGTGCTTCCTTTCTAACCCACTGGTTGGCTTGTTTCTCTTAAAGGCAACTAGTTCCCTGTGTCTACCCCACTCTGGCTGCACATTTTCCATCCTGGGGTATGAGCAGGGCCACAGAGGGAGGCTGCCTTTGCAAAGCTCCTCTGAGGGAAATGAGGACAGGGACTATTGACTTGGGAGGCATTTGATGATTATTGTTTTCACTCAACAAATGTTTGCTGAGTTCACACCTGTTCTGGGAAAGAGGCTCCACRGCGAGCTAACAGGAAAGCTGTGGCCCTGTTTCTAGGAAGCTCACCACCAGTGGGGGCAAGCAGAGTTTTGCACTGGTGTCTCTGTCTGCAGGGATGGAGAGAGCTGAAACCCACATTTGTCTGCCCTATGCTTCCCATGATGTCCTGGCACTGTTTTCTAGACCAATACTGGTTCCTTTCTTATCTCAGTGACTGCAGGGGAGTGACCCCCAAGACCCCCTCTACTGAAAGACATAGCATGTGTCCATGTGTTGGTCCTCAAAGAAGTGTTCCCTCTGCTTTCCCTTGAATTTCCAGACTTTCCTGGCTGACTGCACTTTGTATCCGGTGTGACCCTTGGAAGGTTGAAAATGTAACAAAGTAAGTTGGAAAAGGACAGGGAAGAGAAGGATGGGCCAATTCGTGAAGACCGTCTGGGAGCATATCATGGCTTTTTTTTTTTTTTAAATAATAGTATTCTATGAGAACTTAGCAAGATGCTGATGGCAACTCTTTTGTATCTTCTCTTCCTTGAGGAATGAGAGAGGGCCCCCTGCTGGGTGCAGGGTGTCATGATAAGGTGAGGAAGGACCCCCAGACTCACTGGGACTGCCTGTCACCTGGGGCTCCAGAGAAGCTCAGCCTAAGCCCAGCACGGCTCCTGAGTGGAAGGGCATAGGTGTGTTTTAAATACAGTCACCCTCCATGCACTGGGGACGCGTTCCAAAACCCCCAGTGGAGGTGTGAAACCACAGATAGTACTGAGCCCTACATATTCTGTTCTTTCCTATACATKCACACCTGTGATAGTTGAATTTAGAAATTAGCCTCAGAGAGAGACAGATTAACACAATGACTAAGAATAAAACAGAACAATTGTAACAGTATACTGTAATAAAAGTTATTTCAAACTTACGAATTGTTATTTCTGGAATTTTCTACTTAACAGTTTCAGATTGCCCTTTATCATGAGTAACTGAAACCACAGAAAGTGAAACTGTGGTTAAGGGGGAATGACTACAGAGTGTGTAAAATGAATGAAGAGCAGCCATGTCCAAACTGGGAAAGCTTCTCAGGTTGCAAAGAGAAACATGGACCCCATAGCTAGGCTCAGAGGTGATTACAGTGGTTTCCCTCTGATTTTATGCGGGACACTGTGCTAAGTGTATTCACACTTCATCACATTTCATCTTCCTAACAGTGCTATGGAATAAGGGGTTCAGATCTTCCCTTTATGGGATGGAAAGCAGGCACGGAGGATGACATGTCTAATGTCACCAACCTAGAATGTGGCAGAGCTGGAATCGTACCTGCGTACACACAGCTGTTTGTGATTTAACCATGTGTCTGCAAGCTGTTGGGAGGTTCAGGAAGAATTAGGCTAACTTACCTTTTTGGAAAATCTAAAAGAGGAACCTCTCACCACACAACTAACTAACAGCCAGTGAAGCGATGGCTCCCTGCCATTGTTCAGCACGGAGGTGGCGTTCCAAAACCATCCCTTGCCAAGTCAACCTCCTGACAATCRAAATGTGATTTAAGTCCAACGTTTGGAGGAAAAACAAGGCAAACGTAATTTTTATGACACTTGAGTGAAAATGTGTACAGTTTTATTGTTTGCTCATTCCAACGTGACTCCCTAATGCCTGTACTGACTCTCTGAGCCTGCCACAGGCCTGGATGAGATGCCCCCGCCCACCACTCCTTTTCACCTGCATGAGRCCAGAGTGTAACTCATCAGGAGGGCTGTGATTTCCTGTGCAATCAGCCTCACCTCCTGCTAGAATGTTAGTTCTGTAGGAAGGGACTCTGTCTAGTTCGCTACTTTATTCCTGGCCCCAAGCCCAGCACCTGGTCTGACTCAGAGCAGCCCATCCTCACCTTAGGGAATATTGTTGACTTACATACTGAAGCAATCAGCAAGAAAACCCCTTCTACCTTCCCACATGGGTCACCCCAAATGACTCCTGCATGTGGAAGTCAGTTTGTATTGTCTCTTAGGAGATGGTGGGGATGGAACCCAGAGCCTTGTGCACAGTGGGCAAGCACTCTACCACTGAGCTACACCTCTGGTGCTTCTATGTGAGTCTCCAGACATTAGTCATCTATTTCTTGGGACATTCTTCCTCTGTGATCAAAAATTTAAAAACCAGTACACTGAACCACTCTTGGTAAGCTACCAACATGTACCAGCAGTTGCAGTTTCCTCATCCAAATAGTTTGGGGAAGGGTACAGCTCAAGGGGATGAGCTGGTGACCTGGGTCCTACGTTTTTTTCTTTCAATTGGGTTCTGAAATTTCTCTAACTTTTTTGAACCTCTATCTCCTCACCTAGGCAATGAGCATAAGGATACCCACTTTGCCCAKAATCATGTAAATTTTGGGCAAATGATACTATCCTTACCTCTTTGGTCTTCAGTTCATAACCAGAAAGAATGCAAAATGACTTTGCCAAACCATATGTCCGGAACAGCCACCTCTTAGATCTAACACTCCTCTCCTCATGCCCTCATTCAGGGGTGGGTCCACAGACCTGCCTCACCCTGTTCACTTCTGACATCCCTCACTTCCCTGACTAGCCCAGTGGGCAACATTCTGTCCTGGGAGTCCTCTCCCCTGCCTGGTGGCTCTGATGGTCTTCAGTTGGGTTTTCCAGTCTCTGAAAGAAACGATGATATCATTCATGTCCACACCTCCCCGTCATGCCCCTATTCTCACACACCCTGGTCTTTCTCCCTGGCATACAAMTGGATGGTTCCTGGAAAACTTCACCAAAACTCTGTCCTAGGATAAACCATGATRGCTTGGGAAGGCTTCCTGGTCCCCTGCACTCCCAGCTTGTAGCTGCTACAGGAAAAGGTATGCCTTTGAGGCACAGCCCCTGCTAGCTTATCAGCTGGAGACATGCTGGCCCTGACAGTTCAGCCACATAACCTCTGTCGGGACAGCTCAGCCCTTCCTTGCTTTGATGACATCTTAAGCCCACCACAAAAAGAATGGGCACAGGTCACCTCTGCGTGGACACAAAAAGAATTGGGTACAAGTCATGAGGGGGAAGCAGCCAATGCCTCTTTTCTCCGGAGTGTCCCCAGCTCCTACTCACGTGATGAGTCTCCCAGCTCTACTTATTGTTTCAAATACCTTTCCAGAGTAAGGCTAGGACAACCCGGTATTTTCAAAATATACTTTATGGAACACTGTGTCAAATAAAAAGRAGAGAGAAGCAAAGCAATTTGAGGCAAGGCTTTGAGATAACTGTCCTTCTGTCTGAGCACCTTTGCTGGTATCTGTGTATTCTCTCACTCCTCAGGATGCCACCTCAGCAACATAACTGCARCAAAGAAAGAAGGGGCTGCATTGTCTCAGGAGAGAGAGCCTTCCTTCCAGAGGAATAGGGGTGCAGAASTTCCTTCCCCCTGWCTAAGGGTGCATTCAAGGTTATTCKACCTAACCTGGAACCCCTGAGTAGTGAGCTCAGCAGATCYGCCCAGTGCCTGACAGAGCCCACCTGATTGGTCAGTTGAGACCCAATGAGAAGGTGCTCTGCAGAGGAATCCTGCTCAGGAGAGTGAGGGATAGCACGCCATTCACATTTTGGATKATAATGGACCTAGTTTGATGAGACAAGTTGTCCACTTACCCTGTAGTCAGTGATAAGCCCTGGAGAAAAGAGAAAGAAAAAGAAACCATTAGACAAAAAAAAAATGTTAACATATGTAACCATTTTCATCTTCAAGGTAGATTTCTGTGTCACAAATGCAATCTTTTGAGGCAGATGAAAAACTGCCCGAGGGTTGACTGGGCCTGGGAGTTCCCTGTGGCACATCTCAAGGTAACAGATTYCAAGGGAGTCCTCTGTCCAGGATGCACATTGAAAAGGCTGAATTATTAATGAAGCACCATTAGTTCTGTTTTCTGCAGTTGCATAAGAAAGGAAAGCTGAGGTTTCATCTAGTGCCCAGTAGTAAGTTACATTCAAATCATGTAAATCATTCATCATCCATTCATTCATGCATGGGAAGGTGAATTGGTGATTCAAAGAGTGATAAAAATAATAAAGAAAAAAAAATGGAACCTGATGGGAGTATTCATCTCGGTATTCACAGATCTAGTTCAGCATCGGACACACAGCAGATGCTTCCATGAATATGTATCTATCGAGTCAGTTTCCTCATTCTGGATTCAGTGGCTCCACACTGGTTATGAAAAATGGATGTTTTGAACTTTAGTCTTCCCTCACACCTAAAGCAATACATCCCAGGATCACATGGGAAAAGTACCCTGGGTGAGAACTCAGATGAGTTTCTACAAGTAACCCTGTCAAAGGATCAGGTAAGAGTTATAAGGATATGCAGTAGTAGCTACACGGCTTGGTAGAGGAATTACCAGCTATGGAAATCTTTTCCACCAGCGTAGGCCAGGCAAGGCACATTRTAGGCATCCCCTATTTCCTGTGCAATATCGACTGCAGCGTGGTTGTAGCAGACCTTCACCATGTTCAGCCAGGACAAGCAACCTAATAGAACCCACACCCACTACAAAGGAATGTCCACGCTATATTTACAAGAAATCTGAAGTCCTTCCCTGACTGCATCTGGCTCCCTGGAAAGACCAGGTATTTTCTTAGCTAGGATAAGAATGGCAGTGTTGGAGAAAAATTTAGGRCCATCAGTATTTAATGATTTGGAAGACCCTGATATGGAAGCCCACAGTCACATAGCCTGTCTCAGCTCCTGTCCAATACTCTCATTCCTTTATACCCTGTGGTCTCTCATTAGTAACAGAGTTGTTAAATAAATATAACATCAATAGCAGAGTCATCAAAAGGAAACTGACAGTGATTCACAGAGGCCACGGTACTTGGCATGTTGTAGGTACTCAGAGAACTTGTTAAATACCCGGATGACTGTCATAAATGAAAAATGAATAAATGAGTTTATATGACTATTCTATCTAATATAGTAGCCAATAGCCACATTTGGCTATTGAAATTTTAGGTAGTTAAAACTATAGAAAATTTTAAAAAGTAGTTTTTTTAGTGTGATGAACCACATTTCAAGGTTTCACCTGCCACCCTTGTCTACCATATTGGACGGTGCAAAATTATAGAATGTTTCCTTTACTGTAGAAAATGTTATTGRACAGTGCAACTCGTAGTTTCAAAGACAAGGATTCAGACACAGCAGCTAGTATAGCCAAACACCATTGATGAAAGATGGAATTGGCTTCTCAGTGAATCTGCTTTCTTCTTTAAGGACTCCTTGAAGAACTGGCTCAACTTTGGAACTTCCTTGAACAATCATTTACTGTAAACAATAATGAATTCCTCTAAACCATTAATTTCCCATGACAATGATCTTACTTACACTTACACTGTCTTAAGAGCTTAATGTGTCTTAATAGGTCTTATGTGCCTACTGTCATTTATTTATTTATTATTTCATTGGTTCTTTTTAGCTAGACATGACAATAGAATGTATTTTTACATAATTATAAAAGCATGGAATATAATTGGTTCTAATTTGGTTCCCAGTACTTCCCCTTCCTTCCTCCCACTCCCTTTTTCCTTCTCTCTACTCTACTGATCTTTCTGCTATTTACTTATAGTTATTTTTTGTTAAATTAGTGACTTGTGCATGTACATGATGGTGAGATTAAAACTTCATAAGATATATGTGGTGTAGGAGCAGCTTATAAATTTTAAATGATGTATAGATAAAACAGTAAAAGTAAACAAGGCATAAAAGAAGACTTGTTGAGAAATACAACAATATATCAATAATGTTGSCATTTGAGTGGTTGGATTGTGAAATCTTCTGGCTTAGCATTGATTGTTTTCTGTTTTCCAAATATAAACCTTTAATAATTAAGACTATCTGAAAAGCCTGTGTAACAGGAGTGACCACTTTCCCTTCTCACTAGAATTCTGACAGAACTTTCTGTTATAAAGGAAACTCTCATTTATTTTGACTCTAGCTCAATGTCTTCCACCAAACCTCTGTGGACACTGATTTGTTATCCAAGGGGAATTGTTCCCAGGACCTACTGTGGGARTCAAAATCTAAGGATGCTCAAGTTTCTTACATAAAATGGCATAGTATTTGCATATAACCTAYATACATCACCTTGTAGACTTTAAATCATCTGTAGATTACWTATCATATCTAATACAGTGTAAACACTATGTTAATATTTATACTGTATTTCATAGGGAATAATGTCAAGAAATAAGTCCGTAATTGCTTTGTTCAGGTGCAATTGTTTTTGTTTTTGAGTATTTTTTAATTCACAGTTGGTTGGATTAGTGGAGCAAGACCTATGGCTATGTAAGGCCAACTCTACTGGCCCCCGGTTAGCTGAGACCACATGTGTGAAGTGCAGCCTTAACACAGGGGTTGATCATCATCCTGGTAACACCTGCTGCTGGGTGTGCTCCATTCACTCAGCTCCTGTTGGAGATGTGAACAGGATGGCAAGGCTCTTGCTTGCAGATATAGTGTTCTGGTGGGCAAGATGAACAACAGACAAGAAACCAGGGAGCAATATGATTGCAGCTGGAGACAAGATCCAGGAAGAGCACAGAGTGACCTGAGGCTGCTGAGACGAGGGCCCTGTGGACATGGGAAGGCCCAGAAAGACCTCACCAAGGAGAACACATCCATCATGAGGACTCTGGAGAATGCCCATACAGGGACCAGTCGAGGGTGTTGTGTACAGACAGAACAGGGACAGGCTTCCAGGGCCATGCAGAAAGCCAGAGTGTGTTTTTCCACAGAGCCTTGCAATGGAAGGAAGACCAGGCAATACATTATCATCTTTTCCTAAGGGCCAACCTGTTTGCTGGGAGGCAAAAGTCTTGGTTTGCTGCCATTTTGGCTGGCAGACATTGGAGCCTCTGCCTTCACTTCTGTTACACTGCTCAGTGCTCTACCCAGGGACCAAAATTACATCCTTTTCCAGTCCAGAGTTTGTTTCCTCCCCCATAAATTGAAGTGGTGGGATCAAGTGTTCTGTACGGTTTCTTCTCTCACTAATATTTTATGGTTCTGTGGACCCAAGAAAGCTTGAAGATAATAGAAGTTCCCCAAGATGTGGCCTGTCATTCACTCACTAATTCACACTCTGTGCTGCATCAGGCCCCAAGATAGCCCACACACAGGCACCAAGCTGGCAGCAATGAGAGATTTCAAAAGGAATGAGAAAACTGATCTGCCATCAGGAGGTGCTGTGTCTCAGGGAGAGAAACATATGCAACTACTCTCATAGGTCGATTAAAAGTAGCATAATAATTTGCTGGAGGGTGTTGGCTTAGGTTGCTCTTACACATTTTACTTGACCAGGATCTCAAATGATCCCCCCCCCCAAAAAAAAAAAAACTTACACTAAAAGATATATTCCTTTATTGTGGTACAACAATGGCTGGATCCTTCTGAAAGTGCCCAGATAATAGAAGTGGTGATAATAAACACCCTTATTTCTGACCTCAAAAGAATGCTTTCATGGTAGTATAGCACTCAATGTGATGATGATATATGTATTACATTTCTTTAATCGGGGAAAGTATTATTTTATTTCTCCTTGGGTAAGAAAATGCTTTGTTCAACAGTTAAGATAATAAATGTATAGCAATTTTATATTTTTAATAAAGTTGTGTTCTTTTAGAAATCCTTAAAATTTCAATAGGTAGGCAACACAGGCACCAGGAAGGGTATTTCTGGCTGAAAGGAAGTTACAGGGAAAGGAAAAAAAGACAGTTTGGARTGGTTGAAGACAACTGAGAAGAAATGTTAAAGGAGACCAGATGGGAATAATAGAAGGGGCGTGAGCCCTGGTGCACATGGGGCTGTACCAGGCAGGCTCAGTTAGGATGCATGGTTAAGGAAGGATGAACAAGAGCCACAACCAACCAAGACCCAGGGATCCTGTCTCTGAGTGATGGAGAGAAAACCAAAAGGAGGAGAAGACTGAAAAGGACTAATGGTGAGCTGAGTCTCCTTGCTGTCAGGGGTCCACTGTGCATAGTGCCCTGTATTTAGGGATCATGCAGGTGGCTTTCTGTGCTGCATGCATGAGCCTTGACATTTAAGGATAATATTGCTAATGATTCTGTTTTTGAAAGCATAGAGAAAATTGAGAGCATTTACAAATAATTGCAGTATCTCGATGTGAGCACTGTGAACATTTTGAAATTTTCCACTCCACACATTTTGGTGTTGCTGAGGTCATTCTCATCATTATCAGACATTATCTTTGAACAGCACGGCCTTTCAGGGAAATTTGGATTTCCACATCCTGGGTGCCCTCTCAGAACCCTGCTGTGCTAAATTGTGATTTGGCATTTGATTGTGGCCTATGAACAAGAGTAGTAATTGCATAGAACATGATGTTTTATGTTTTGTAGGAATTCTGCTGCCTTTTAGAAATGCTTTTTATGAGAAGGCATGGAGGCATCTCCKTTGTAAGAAAAGTTCTAACCCTAAACCACTGTAAAGGTCTCATAGGAATAATAATTCTCAAAGGTATGTAAAGCCTTTGTCCTCAGGGTAACACTGTAAGAAGGTGCTGTGGGTCTTTTAGAGGTGGAGACTCAAGGGAGTCCCTTAGGTTATTGGGGGTGTGCCCTCAAAGGGGAGTGTGGCATTCTGCCAGTCCTCTCTCTCTCTCTCTCTCTCCCCCCCCCCTCTCTCTCTCTCTGCTTCCTGGCTTATGATGTGGGCACTCAATATATTGTGTGCCCATCACCTTCCTCGCTAGGTTATGCAGGCACTGGGTCTTTGTCACCACTTCTGTCACCAGTGTCTGGCACAGAGGGCCTACCATTAAACAAGTGCCATGCATATTGGTGTACTGAACCTTCCCAGGGCTTTGTCATATTTCCTCTTTACTCTCCTTCCCTGCAGAATCTTCTTCATTTACTTTCTTTCCTCCTCTTGGTATTAGTGGAAGGCATGAAAATTCTTTTTTGGAAAGACGTTAGAGCAGACATTTTTGTAAAGGTGTTTCCTTATGAATAGGAAGTATCTGTACCTATACTGAAGTCCCCTGGCTGCACCCCTGGCTCCAGATGCTGCTTCTTCCCCAGTCCTGATCAGTGTTGGCTCCATGGATGGGTTAAGGGCTCTTGGGATTTCCCAGCACAAGAAAGAGATGTGAGGGGCAAGTACAGGTACACACAACACCCAACCACTCTGGTGTCTCCCCAGACTTGAACGACTGACTCCTGGCTCTTAGATCCTTCTAATGAAGCTTTGATGAAAACATATGTGGGAACAGATTGTAAGAGCAAGCACCCAACTTACCTGAATCCTGATGGCTGTGCTTCAAGTACACAGGGTCCAATTTAAAGGCTCCTGTTAAGTCTGTTCTCTTTTTCACCCTGGGTTTAGAAAAAAGAAATGATAGGGCTCAAGACGTAGGATTTTGGATTGGTCCATGCTGTCTGCTGTCCCCTTTGTGGCTCTGCTTAGGCACCTGCCTCCAGGGACCTGTCTGGACATACTTCTGTATACATGGCCACCTCTGTCCCCAGTTCCCTGGTCTCACTCCAGCCCAGCATGCGCCGCTCCCAGAATTAGGGAGAAGGGGATAGAAAAATAAWTAAATAGTAGGTTTTGTTCCTGGTTCTTGGCACACAGCTCCTAAAAGTTTGGTGGTGATAAGAGTTTGGTGAGATGACTAATGGCTGGGGATCCTACATAGTTTCAGATGGGGACTTCTTGCCAAAAGACTCACAGCATAAAGTGACTCAGGTCAAACTTTCAGTCTCTGGGGAAGGAAGATGGACTGGAGACTGAGTTGGTCGTTTTAATCAATCATGCTAAGTAAGAAAAGCTCTGTGAAAAAGTCCTGAAAATGAGAGGCCTAAGAGTTTCTGGGTTGATTGGCATTTTGTGGTGCTCTCTTTCCAGAGACGATGTGGAAGTTCCAAACCTAGCCCTCTTCCCTGCCTGGCTCTACACTTTGTCCTGTGCATTTCTTCATTGCCTGTTCATTTGTAACCTTTATAATAAACCTGTCAACCATAAATAGAACATTTTGTTGAGTTCTGAGTTGTTCTAGCAAACTATCCAACTCGGAGTGGGGGATTATGAGAACCCCCAGCATCAAAGCTATGTTGGACAGAAGGGTGCTACTTGGGGGGTCTGGTTCTTGAGACTGGCACTTGAAATTGAAGCCATCTTGTGGGGCTGAATCCCGCAATCTGTGGGGTCTGTTGCAAACAGAATAGGATTGATTTGTGAAACACCCCACTGATGTCTGCAGAGTTGGACAACTGGTGTCAGGACCGAAGAAAGCACTGTAGTTGTATTTATTCCTCTGTGGCTCCAGGGCCCAGTGCAGCACTTGGCCCCTGATGGTATCAGTGACTGTGCACTGGATGAACACTGAGAGATGCCTTGTGCTGTGCACATGGATCCCTCCCTGTCCACCACTCTGCCTGTGGAGCGCTCACAGCAATCGCCATTCTGGATAACTTGGGTCCAACTCTCACTGGGACTTGGATTTGAAGGGCGATTATGCTAATTGCTGCTCTGCTTCATTTGGCAGTGGGGACATCATCTCAAAGCCATTTTATGGCAAATAAAGTATCCTAGGCACCAACTGGAGAAGAAATGTCAATCTGATTGTAGTTTGGGCTTGAAAACAAATACAGTGTGAGAGTTCCTGATAGATCCAATCCAGTGAGCATGAAATAGGATGCCCAGATGAGGCTTAACAATGAGGAGATGAGAGACAAAGAGGTTAGATTTATTTATGGAAGATAATAGAGGCTTTGTTTCTTTAAAGGGTTAAAAGACAGACCATGTCAGTGGGCAATCATAAGCTATCTAGTGTATGTTCTCTCTTTGGCCCATGGAAGAAAATCTATTGTACCAAAAACATTGTGTGTGTGCACATGGGCATTTTGCTACATCATGAGCCTTTTCTAAGAAGTCCCTGGAGGATTTTTCTTTGGGTCCCTCTGTACTAGGGGAAACTCTGAGCCTAGCGTTAAAGAGCAGGGAAAAAGAAAGACAAGAAGGGGTATGAATATCTACAGCTATCAGTAGAATTCCTTCTTCATGAAGACCAGAATTCTCTTATTAATGACTCCAGAAATGACGTTTGAACTCATTATTTTTTTTTAGTTGTTCAAGGACCTTTATTTTATTTATTTATTTTTATGTGGTGCTGAGAGTTGAACCCAGTGCCTCACACATGCTAGGCAAGCCCCCTAACACTGAACCACAACTCCAGCCCTGAACTCATTATTTTTTAATTTAAAAATATTATGAAGTCATAATAAAGGCAGAAAGAACAATTTCTCTGTCCCCCGATTACTAAATAAAATGTGACTTTTAAGTAAAAGAAATTCTTCCTGTGTGTCCTTCCCCTCAGCCCCTTCCTCTCTGGAGTCCATGACAGAGGCCACAGACTTGAATTTAGGTTTACCATGCCTACGTCATTCTACAAAATCTTTTGCACAAATCCCCAAGTAATCTATAGTATGGTTTTGTTTCTAAATAGACTGTAACAACTTAAGGTGTTTAAATATGAATGTCATCCTTCTCTGAGTATTTTTCTACAACTTACTTTTTCTTATAAAAACAGACTGAATTTCACACTCATTCATACAAGTCACTTGCACTCATTCACTTTTGGTTCTATTTTTTTTTTCTTGGTACTAGGGATTGAACTCAGCCACTGAGTCACATCCCCAGCCCTATTTTGTATTTTATTTAGAGACAGGGTCTCACTGAGTTGCTTAGCACCTCTCTTTTGCTGAGGCTGGCTTTGAACTCAAGAATCTTCCTGCCTCATCCTCCCGGAGCCACTGGGATTACAGGCATGTGTCACCATACCCATTGCATTCATTCACTTCTTTTTCCCCTTTCTGTACTGGGGAATCAAACCCAGGGCCTCTCCTAGTCTCCTATGCTAGATAAGTTCTCTAACACTGAGCCTCAGCACTTTTTTTTTTTTTTTTTGAGACATGGTCTCATTAAATTTCTCAAGATGGCTTCAAACTTGTGATCCTCCTGCTTCAGCTTCAGAAGTAGCTGAGATTACAGGTGTGTATCTCCACACCTGCTGGTTCATTCTTTCTTATTACCTAATTGGATTTCATTGTACAAACATATTACAACCCATTCATTCTTGCGTTGTTTCCCATTTGTTAGTAGACAAGATCTGCTTCTGTGGGCATTCCAGCACATTTCCACTGTGTTTGTAGAATATTCATCTCTTCACAGAAATGGCACAGGGTACTCTTAAGGTTGTACGAATATGTCTACAACCTTACCGGACAAATAGCACTAAATTAGTCTCCACAATGGTTGTGCAGTGTACAAGTTCCTCCGGTTCCATATCCTGACCAACATATCATTTGGAGAGATTTCATTTCCAAAAATTCATAGTGCTTAATGGTGCTTAATTTGCATTGCTGATAATGAATGAGGTTGAGTAACTCTGCATTCACTAAGAAACCATATCTAGAGTTTCCTATTTGGTGAGGAAAAGTTTGTTCATATTTCTGTGTGATTGCTTGTCTCTGTCATAATGGAATGGAATTATTAGGAATACTAATTTGCATACTTGGTTGGCCTGCTCCAGGTTCTCCTGTGGTCTAATCTCTCTGTCACACCTGTCCTATACAAGATCAGCTCAATCAGTTGCTTTACACGCACTGACACTTGATTAGGCAAAGTCTCTACCATATTTTTCTTAACAATTCTCTTCATTATTCTTGGCCCATAAAAATATTATGGCAGTTGGGATATTTATTAAAAATAAATATTAAGGCTTCCTACCCATGCATATAACACATCACGGTATGTAGTCAGGACTTCTTTAATGAATTCCAAAAAAATACAGAATTTTTGTCATAAAAGTTTGAATAGATTTTGATATATTTATACACAATAACCTCATATCTTTTCTTAGTATTATAAAAAGGATTTTTAAATTTAATGTGTTGTTAATTGTAGACACACAAAAAAATGCAACCTTAAAAGTTATTTTACTTAGAAATTTTTCTGTGTTCTCTTATTAAAGACAAAGCCTTGAAGATTCTCTTTATTTCAGTCATTTCATTGGAGAATAATGAGAGTTTTGTATCTTCCATTCCAATTCCTATATTTGCACTTCTTTATCTTTTACTATGCATGTTAGGAATGCACAATGTTGAATAGAAGTGATAATGATAGGAACAATTTTTTTCCTGATCTTAAAAGAATGCTTCTAATATTTCACCATTAAGAATAGGTTTTACTATAGTTCTTCAGTAGATACATTTTATCAGTTTAAATTCTCTTCTCTTCCTGCTTTACTAAGACTTTTTGTCCTACCTGGGTATTGAATTTTATGTAATTTTTTKGGGGGGGCCTGATGTGTTGATAACTTTGTTTCTCCTTCAGCATGACATTTACTAACCTAACATTAAACCACCCTGGCATATTTGGAATAAACACAATTTGGTCATGTAATATTATTTTTTTAATCATTGGATTTTATTGCTGACATTTGACTTTGAATTTTAACTTTTAAGTTTAAGTTTGTTCTACAGTTTTTCTTTCTCTGCTTCTCACCTGATTTTAGAATTGCTGCAAAACCCACTCTATGACATAAGTGACACTTGCTGTTCTCTGTGAATCAAATTTGAGATTGGATAGAAATCTCCCCTGACAGTTGAGTAGGATACTCACTGTTAAAAGAATACAGATATTGGGCTGGGGATGTGGCTCAAGCGGTAGCGCGCTCGCCTGGCATGCGTGCGACCCGGGTTCGATCCTCAGCACCACATACCAACAAAGATGTTGTGTCCGCCGAGAACTAAAAAATAAATATTAAAAATTCTCTCTCTCTCTCTCTCTCTCTCCTCTCACTCTCTCTTTAAAAAAAAAATACGGATATTACTGCTGTAGGAAAATTTTATTGGAACTTTGTAAGATTGTTCAGGTTTTTGTTATTCTTGAGTCAGTTTTGATAAAAGTGATTTTTGTAATGATGTGTATTTTGTGGGGCAATTCTTGGCAAGATGTTATTCATAAGTTCTCCCTTATGATTTTTTGAAATCTCTAAAGTACATACAGGTAAGGATGTATAGCTACATACTACAGTGAGGACCTTTTTATTTTCTACAGCAGTTTATCAGTGACTTATTTTACTTTATTTTATTTTATTTTGAAGGGATTGAACCCAGGGCCTTGCACATGCTAGGGCACTGAGCTTCATCCCCAGTCCTCTTTTTATTTCTGTTTGGTATTTCCAGAGATCATTTATTTAATTGCCAGGTGAGGGAGCAATATTTGGCATTGTTGGCTCTCCCTACTGTGTCAATTTTACTACCTCTGTTAACTTTAACTGTTTTCCTCCATTTACTGTTTGAGGGTTTAA